CGCCGCCTGCCCGTGAGTGAGGTGGGTATCCCTTAGACCCAGGAAAGGGCCTGGGCTGCTAAGCCCTTTCTGGACATCTGCATTGACGAAGCTCCTTCCACTGTGTTGGACTGAATGACACCTAGAAACTACAAACCTGAACTTGGCTAATAGTTAGGACTCACAAAATCAGAGAAGCCTGGGACTCTTCTCAGGACCAGAGGTCCTGCCCTATGGAATGCTGTCCTACCAAGGCACCTGAGGGGAGAGGCAGCAGTAGCAACCCGTGGGAGAGATGAGGGGAAGTGTTTGGTCCTCTCACTGCAGCCTTGCTGAGTTCTCTGGTCCTTCAGGGACAAGCAAAGGTAATGATGGCCTGGGAAGACCCTGAGAAACGGGACCCACTCTACATGCTGGGCAGTCTTCCTGTTACATGTGTGTTGGCCGTGGTGAAGCAACATGACCAGCGCATTCTGGGGCATCAAAGCAGAGTCTTGGCTATTGATGTAACTGTTCGAGGCCTGGGTGGTGTGTCGGTCAGCACCCCGTTGCAGAAGCTATGAACGATGATGGGCCCATCCGCTGGAAAACCCACCACATCACCTTCTGCTAACAACTGGCCTTCAGTGCCACTGTGCTGGTACCATCTCTAGCCTCGGGCACTGGTGATACTGCAGTATAGCAATATTATTGTGCCCCAAGGCCCCAACTGTGGAACTTACTAAGGTTTTAGGGTACAGTTTGGTCTGCAGAATGAGTGTGCCCAGGATGAGTAATTTTTTAGTTGTACCCTCGCCTCACAATAAACATTTATATTATTGTATTTATTATGTATACAGTGTTCTGTCTGCATGTGTGCTTGCATACCAGAAGAGGGCATCAGATCTCATTGTAGATGGTATGAATCACCATGAGGTTACTGGGATTTGAACTCAGGACCTTTGGAAAAGCAGTCAATGCTCTTAACCTCTGAGTCATCTCTCCAGTCCCCATGATAAACATTTGAAGATGCCCGCAGATAGGTAGACTGAGGTATCTTAAGATGTAGCTTGGCTTCCAAGCCTACAAGCCTTGATCTTTTTACTCAGGAGTCTGTTAGTCTCCTGGCAGGCTTCTCCGGAAGGTTGCTAGTAAGGCTAGACTCTGACAAATGTGAGCTCAGAGGGACGTCTGCTAAGGAGGGCATTGTGGGAACAGGACAGGTGGGTGGTCTTTCTAGGCTTATGTGACTGCCGTCTGGGTATGCGCAAGCCTTACCTGCATGTTTCTCATCAGTGACAATGCGCTGGTGTGTGCTCTTCTCTTGACCATGTTTTGAAAACACTAAACTAACCACGCCACAGCTGACTTCTGCAATAAAGACCCGGTGGGTGGAAACACTGCAGAAATCTGTAGCAAGCTCTGGGAGGAGAGGTAGCTGAACAGCACACCTGTGCATACAGTTGTGGAAGGATCCTTTGTAATGAGTCCTTCTCTGTCCTGCCTGACACTCCCAGATAACCACACAGAGACTTGTTATTAATCATGAAAGCCTGGCCCATTGCCTAGGTTTGTTCCTAACTAGTTCTTACAACTTACATTAACCCGTTTCTACTAACTTACATGCTGCCACGTGTCTTCTCCTACATGTCATGCTTCCTCTCCATTTGGCTGGTGACCCCGGCATCTCTGCCACTCTTCTTCCCAGCATCCTCTGTACCTGGAAATCCTGCCTAGCCTATTGGCTGTTCAGCTTTTTTTTTTTTTTTTTGGTTTTTTTTTTTTTTTTTTTTTTTTTGAGACAGGGTTTCTCTGTGGCTTTGGAGGCTGTCCTGGAACTCACTCTGTAGACCAGGCTGGCCTCGAACTCACAGAAATCTGCCTGCCTCTGCCTCCCGAGTGCTGGGATTAAAGGCGTGTGCCACCAACGCCCGGCAGCTGTTCAGCTTTTTATTAAACCAATAGCAGTGACACATCTTCACTGTGGACAAAAAGATAATTCCACAATGATCCTTTGTTATTTAGTTTATAACATAAGCTTTTCAGAGAACAATAATGTCAATACAGAGAAGCGTACAGCTCAGTGACTGCCCCCTAAATTGCCTGTGTATATAACATCTAATCAGAAAATAGGGTCCCAGAAATAACTTTAGGATTCCTCTAAAAGGGAGAGAAATTGGTTAATTCAGGATTTAGTTGTTTATTTGGAACATTGAGGATGGAGACAGAGATGGGTGACTGAACATGTTAGGGCAGTCAGGGGTCAAGCTTGCACCTTAAAAATCTGGTAACACCATGTCATGGAGATGCCATCCCTACCCATAGCTCCATCATCATGGAATCAAGCCTTCAACAAATGAGCTTTGGGTCACATGTGAGATTCAGACCATATCAGATTAGATCAGATGGCTTTCACCTCAGGCACTCTGTGGTGTGTGTGTGTGTGTGTGTGTGTGTGTGTGTGTGTGTGTGTGTGTGTGTGGTATATTTGTGTGTGTGTGTGTGTGTTCTCTCTTCTTCAGCTCCAGAGGTCACACCCAGAGCCCTGCAGCATGGTTGGCTAGTTCTCAGCAGTATTTGCAGTCCTGAGAACTTCTTTAAAACGGAGCTGCCTGCCCCTGCTGACCTGAGGTGACTCTCACATTGGGGGTGGGATCAGTGTGCTCACATAAGCGGGCAAGCTCAGTCAGCACCTGCTCTGCAGCTTCAGTGGGTGGGTGGGTGGCCTTCGTCACGCTCGTCGGTGGAATCGTGGGGTATTATTCTTCACTTTTCACTTTCTAATGGCTTTGGTAAATGTCTGCAGACATAATGTGAAATATGCCCCTCAACCCATTTTAGGCAAATGGTTACCAGCAGAGAATGCATTCACATTGTTGTGTACCCGTCACCACCCTCTATTTCCATACGCCTTTCATATTCCCGAGGAAACTCCACACTTCTCAAACAACGATGCTACCTTAGGGTTCCTACTGCTGTGAAGAAACACCATGACCATGGCAATTCTTTTGTTTTGTTTTGTTTTTTGTTTTTTCGAGACACGGTTTCTCTGTGGCTTTGGAGGCTGTCCTGGAACTCGCTCTGTAGACCAGGCTGGCCTCGAACTCACAGAGATCAGCCTGCCTCTGCCTCCTTAGTGCTGGGATTAAAGGTGTGTGCCACCAACACCTGGCTTATAGCAATTCTTATAAAGAATACATTTAATTGAGGTGGTGGCTTACAACTTCAGAGGCTTAGTCCATTATCGTCGTGGCAGGGATCATGGCAGTATGCAGGCAGACATGGTGCGGACTACATCTTGGTCAAAAGGGAACAGGAAGTCAATAGCAACACTGGGAGAAGTTTTAGAACTCAAAGCCCACCCCCACAGTGACACACTTGTTCCAACAAGGACACACCTCCTAATAGTGCCACTCCCTTTGGGGGCCATTTTCTTTCGAACCACCACAGATGCCTACCCCGTTTTCTCCAAGCTCCTGGAGAACCATAGTCCATTTTTTGTCTCTATGAATTTGACTGATTTAGGGATCCTTCGTAAGTAGAATCATGGGTTAGGCATAGTGGTTCAAGTCCGCAATCCTAACACGTTGGTGGCTGAGACAGGAGGGTCTCTGTGAGTTCAAGACCACCCCGGGCTACATAGTAAATTCCCCACCAGCCTGTACTATAGTGTGAGACCCCCTCCTCTAGAAAAATTATTGAGCTGGGCAGTGGTGGGTGGTGCGCGCCATTAATCCCAGCACTCAGGAGGCAGAGGCAGAGGCAGGTGGATCTTTGTGAGTTCAAGGCTGCCTGGTCTACAAAGTGAGTTCCAGGACAGCCAAGGCTACACAGAGAAACCCTGTCCCAAAAAGCAAGCAAACAAGCAAAAATAGAAAAATAATTGAAATCCTATGGAAGTTATCCTTTGTGTCTTTAGGAGAAGTCTAAAAGCATAAATACTTAAGTCTAATCCCAGGCCAATGAAATGAGAATTTGGAGGGTGAATCAAGGCTCCCGTGATTTTAATCCGGGTCCATGGAAACAAGCGATCTGAGTCCGATTTATTTCTGTGAGTCCCTCCCTATCACAAGCACACCCCAGCACCTGCTAACAGGTCTCCCTCCACGTGTGTTTGTTACAGCACCACAGCTGTGATTTGACTGCACTGTCTTTCCCAGGCCTGTGGTTTGGACACTCAGTCTCTGCTTGCTACCTTAGGAGACTGTGGCACCTCCAAGAGGTTTGCTTGGCTGGGAAAAAGAGGGGGCAGGCCATGAAGGTTTTTGGTGTTTCCTGCAGTCTGTCTGCTCTCTGGCTCACTGTAATGTGAACAGCCTCCGCATACACTCCTGCGGCTGAGATCTGAGCTGCTGACTCAGCCCTGCTCCCCCACCACAGTGGGCTGAGCCCTCTGAAACCTAGAAGCAAAATAAAATTGGCCTCCCTTAAGATGTGCCTGTCAGAAACCATGAAAGAGCGATTTGAAAGCAAATCATACGATCGGCTTTATGGTAGCAAAATTCTGCCTTCCTCGGCATGGGATTCGATAATGAAGTGACATGGAATGGGTCTTAAACAAAAGGAGTCCCTTCTCACAAAGTCACTCATGGACTTGACTATGGTATGCAGCGTGCACCTGTGTGGGAGTGTCCTAGGGAACCAGAAGAGGACGTCAGATCCCCTGAGCTGAAGCTGCCGGCAGTTGTGAACTGCCCCAGGTGGGTGCTAGGGACCAAACTCAGGTCTTCTTCATTGAGCCACTTCTCCTGTCCCCCTGCTGAGGGATTTAAGTGAGAGAAATAGTTACACTATGCCTGGCAGCAGCCTGCCCGTCCTCCGTGAAAGCCCCTTTGCTCTTTCCCCTCCTGTCTCTCTGGGGCTTGGCGGGAGGAAGGGAGGAAGGGCAGGCCAGGTCTGCCTCGGTGGCCCCGTGGGACAGGAGCTGAACTCTTAGCCCGGCACTCTTCAGTCAGGAACGTTCTACGATGACTGAAACCCACATCGCTTAGAGGCCCCGCCCTGGGAGTGGCTCAGACATCCGTGATGAGGAGATTCTTGCATGTGGGTGGCAGGGCCAGGCTGCTGGAGGCCCTGAGAACCTCTTGTGAGGCTTTTGGCCACAGCCAGCGAAGGTGTGTGCGCCTCAGCTGCCGGCTCCGGTCCTGTCAGACTCGACACACACAAGAGCCATGGGAACCCTTGAGGGACACCTGCTGCCAGGAATGGGCTTTCTTCTGTACTCATTGTACTACTCGGTGCTGACATCCTTGGCCCTGCTACGGGAGCAGAAGGCCCTTGAGCACCCCATGCTCCCGAGGAAGCTGTGGGGACACCGGCAGGTATCGTACGAAGCGTTGGTGAAGGTGCTTATCCCCACCTTTGCCACTATCTGTGAGTTCTTCTACCCCCTAGGGGTAAATCGTCTGCAGATGATAGACTGGAAGGACCCTCGGCGGCCGTTTATTTTCAAGGACAACTGGGAGCATATAACCATGTTTGGGTTCTTTATCCTCAGTGGCGTGGTGGACATGGTGAGCCAGGCACGGCCGGCTCACCGGAGCGTGAAGCTGGAATGCGCCTTCGAGGCGCTGACTTTCTATGTACTGGTCCTGCTGATGGCAACCCACATCGAGAACAAAAGCTCCATGGAGATCCGGGTGCATCTCCTGTTAATGCTGCCGTCCTTCCTGCTTGCTGTGGTGATCACTGTGGAGACCTGGCTCCCCAGCCATCCCCCGATCTGGGTCCTCAAGTCCTGGCTGGGGCTGGTGTTCAGCAACTGGATGTTTCAGATCTGTGAGATGTACGTGCCGCCCACTGGGCAGCCCTGGCGGTCAGACAGCCCTACAGACCATGCATTCCTAACTGTCTTCTTCTGCTGGTACATGGCCCTTTCGGCTGCCTTGTTCGTTGCCATCTATGGCCTCTGCAGTCTCTGGCACAGTCGCTATTCGTCGTGGGAAAAGACCTCTGGTCCTAGGTACCAGCGATGCCGGGTGGAGTCCGGGTGTGAAGAACTGGAAAGGCTCAAGGCAGAAGCCCTGCTGCAGGACGGAGTTGTGTAGGAACAGGAGCTGTCTGGAGTGCTGTATGCACAACCCGGAATCCATAGCGTAGCTTCCTACCCCAGGACTCGTAGCTTCCTACCCCAGGACTCGCCCTAAATAAAACCTCTAGCTCCAAAGATGACTTCTAGGTTGTCACTTTGTTTCATCCAGGTCAGTGTCTTACCTGTTTCCTTATCTATGTGGTTTCTGGTCGTCCAAATGCAAAGGTCAAAGCAGCACTTTCCTGTACCAGCTTCGGGTAGCTTTTCTTAGAGAAGAAAAGACGCTTAAACTGAGTACATCTATGGACTGCTGAGAAGGGATGAGGACTTGGTCACATTGATGAGGGGTCAGGCGGTTTACTAAGGGCTCAGGTCAGGAGCAAGGAGAGTCTGGGGAGGAATTCTTGAAAGCGGTTGTAATTGGGTGATTAAAACATAATTTTGGGGCTGGTGAGAAGGCTCCAGTGTATAGAGTCACCTGCCACAGACCCGAGGACCTGAGGTCTGTCTATTCCTGGGACCCACAGTGTAGAAGGGGACTCCCGAGGCTTGAAAGTTGTCCTCTGACAATTCTGTGGCACATGCACCACCATGCACACACTAAAAATAATAAGATGAATTAAAATGCTCAAGCAAATTTAAGAGCTGGAAATGTATCTCACAGGTAAATTGTGTTCCTGGTGTGCCTGGGGCCCTGGGTTCAGTGTCTAGCCATGCAAAATCAAAAAGCAAACAAAATGATTTGTAGTGACTTGGTTTTGGCTGTGATACAAATCAACTTGTTCCAACTCCGCATGAAAGTCTTTTGTGCACATCATACCCTGTGTGAGTGCTTCTGGGGAGAAACTGAATGAAAAATTCGATCTTACTTGAGAATGGGGGTGGGGAGAAATAGCCATAGATTGTGGCTGGGTACCAATGGTCTCTGTGGACATCTCCAAATGAAATGCAGGCACCCCACATCTGAAGCCCGAAGAAATGCCAGGAGGTGGTAGGCAGGCATGGAGAGAAAGGATAGCGGAGAGAAGTGGACACCATGAAGTCATTACATTTACTTTGTCCTCACAGCCAGGGATGCTCTCCCTGAAGGACCGAAAGCTTCCAGAAGTACAGAAGTCTGTAGATAGCAGACAAGGAAGTCATTTTTATTTCTGGTTGTGAACCTAGCCTTTAATGGCTGAGCCATCTCTCCAGCCCAAGGAAATCATTTTTAAATGCCACAGACACCCTGGAAAGAAACAGTGATTTGCAGTGCGTGGACGGTGGTATCTGGAGAGCAGCAGAGAGGGAGACTGATGTTAGCAGAGGGGCCTGTCCTCCTCAAGTAGCAGGATCCAGGCCTCCTGGCCCAGGCCCCAAAACTTCTCTCCCAGTGTAGCAGCAACCAACCCAAGCACAAATCATTTTCTACCCCAAAATCCCAGAGCCGGAACCTGATTCTGAGACTAAGAAAACTTAAGCTTTGAAGCTCCTCCTGTTATACTGCGCGTTTGTGAACCTGGGGCAGTGTTCTTCATGTTATCACTGATAATTTGCATATCACGGAACATTCACCAAAGTGAGGATTTCAATTCTTTTCTCTCTAAAAACTGTTCTCCAAGGTGCGTGAGCTTTGTACACAGCAGAACCTGGCTCCACCTCACCCACAGACTTAACAGGGTATGCTGTCGGGACATGTCAGACGAACCCATCTCTTCTGGACCGGCAGCACGCTCTTCCTGAGAGGGTAGTGTTAAAACTTGTCCATACGCAGCCCAAAAGAGAAAGTTTAGGCTAATGTGGATTGTGTTACACATAAGTTGAGAGTCACTTGCTAAAGTATAGTTCCTACATCAACAAACATTTATGTTTACAAGGGCCTGGGGCGGGAGCTGGGGGTTTGCTTAGTGTGTCAGGAGGCCCTGAGTTATATATAGCACCACACAAACAAACAGATGTGAGTGTTAGCAGACCCTAACCGTGGCTTAGAAGAGGGCTTGGAGTTAAGAAAAGATGGGTCCAGGGCAGGAGGCAGGCATAATTTATACAGACTGACTACTTAGGTCTCTGTACTCGGTGTGGGATTTGTCTGCACATCTGGACCTTATAGAGTGAATTAGTCACCATTCTCTAAAGACAAGAGGGTGTTGAGACAGACAGCAAAGACTGGCGCATCCAAAATCTGCAGGACAGGACAGTAGGATGGAGACCAGGGGCAAGTTGAGGCCTCATTCTTGAGTTCCTGAGTTTTGTACAGAGATCTCTGGGGGGCACCAGTCTTTCCAAGGACCTTCTGTGGCTGCATGAATGAAGCCTGAGCTCACTGTGAATCTTCTAGTTCAAGTGCTGTTGCAAATGTTAGTCACACCCGGAAATAGCATCACAGTGACATCTACAAAGATATGTGACCTGACAGCTGGGTGATATGGCCCAGCCTAGATGACAGAAAACCAACTGTTATACCTAGCATATCAGAATGCCACAATTCACTTGGACATGATTTATGGAGATTTTTTAAAATAGCAATACTAATTTCACTTTATAGTGATTTCATCATTAAGGCTCTGATTAGTGTGTTAATATACATGTAATCTGTCCTGAAATTCAGCTCCAAGCATCATCTAGTGGGGGAAGAGCTTATGGTAGGTGACAGTTACCTTCTTGTGTGATTTCTTGACACAGAGTTTCTCTGTGTAACAGACTTGACTGTCCTGAAACTCACTCTGTAGCCCAGGCTGGCCTCCAACTCATGGAGTTCACCTGCCTCTGCCTCCTGAGTGTTGTGGTTAAAGGTGTGCGCCACCACGCCCAGCTGGTGACAACTACCTTTAAAGACTAAAAATCAATGTTCAAGGGATTATTTTTAAGTTATAAATGTGCTGTGCACACATAAATTTGTTACTATACATTTTACATTTTAGACATCTTAGAAAATGTTGAAAAGTGTTTTGAAATTTGTCCAATGCTATAATCCCAAACTAATTATTGCCAAGAGGGCTAGATGGGTGGATGGCAGGGCTTTCTTGACAATGACTCAGATCATGCTTGCTGACTAAGGCAAGGTAAGTCAAGAGGCTTAGAGGCAACGATCGCAAGGATGAAGAAACCAAGAGAGGGAATCTAGTGTTGTGGGAAGGGAATTGAGAAAGGATGCTCACAATACAAGGAAATGGCAGGCCTGGATTGGGAACCCCCCGAGCCTTTGTCCTCAGTGAAGTCTTAGAGGTCACTTTTGGCATTGAGAAGGCTAAGAAGGAAGGCGCTAAGGAGCGTATGACCTTTAGGAGGGCAAATGTTCAGGGTGTAGCAGTGAGCGGACCGCTCAAAAGCAGCTGTGGTGATTCACACCTGCAATCCCAGAGCTTCGAGGATCCGCAGTTGAGGCCATGCTGGGCTATGTGAGCCCCTGTTCCAAAAGCGGCAAATGAAGGGATCCAGGGAGATGGCTCAGTGTGCCCTGCAAGCATGGGACCTGGATTTGAACCCTCAGCACGTAGGCACATGGACATGGCTGTTTATCCCTGCCACCCCAGCATTTGGGGCAAAGGCATCAGACCTCACTGGTCAGACAGTCAGCAGAAATGGTGATTTTCTGGTTCAGTGGGGACAATAATGTGGAGAGGGATAGAAGAAGACATCCAATGCTCTGCTCTGGCCTCTGCATGGGACTCAGGGGCTCACATGGGTAGACACACACACACACACACACACACACACACACACACACACACAGAGTAAAAACTGAGACCAGTTAAATTTAACAAAGTACACTGGAAACAAAGACGCTAGAGCCAGGCAGCATTCCAGACCAAAGACATTCTAGAATGTCCCCCTCCCACCATAGGTTATATTTATAGGCAGAGAATAGGAAATGACATACAGGAACAACCTGACTAGGGACTTGGGTTCAGTCAGTAAAGTGCCTGCCCTGAAAGTCTGAGAACATCCACAGAGCAGCCAGGCTTGGCAGCACGGTACCTGTAATCCCAGAATTGCAAGGGCAGAGAAGTGGATTCCTAGAGCTAACAGGTCAGGGAATCCGGTCATTGGCACACTTTGGGTTAAGTGAAAGAGCCATCTCAAAAGCTTGCTTGTGGAGAACAAGATGCCTGAGGTTAACCTCTAGCCTCTACATGCATACACACATACATACATGTAGAGCCACATGAACACCCACACAATCACGTTTATATTTCCTATGTGTGTTACAAACACCCCTCTCCCTCTCCACTACACAAGAAGGCAATAGCCTCGTTGACTGCAGTTGTCACTTACTTCATACAGTCATATTTTAAACAACTTTTTACATTTACTTATGGATTGGTGTGTGTGTGTGTGTCCATGTACACATGTGCACACATACAAATGTGCACAAGTAGGTGCCATGGTGTGCACATGACAGAGAGAGGATGACTTTGTGGGGGGTTGGTTCCTGGGAGTCAGGATTCCAGGATTGAACTCAGGCTATCAGGCTTGGTGGCAGGCACTTTTACCCACTAAGCCATATCATAGGCCCCATATATAGGTATATTTGGGCAGCTTCTAGTCTCTGATCAACTGGATGTTAGCTGCTATTATTGTTTCAGATTTAGAGTCAGGTTGTCATAGTTTTTAGTATATAGGGCAGCTATTTTAGATCAAACTTACCATCTAAATGTAAAGGTCAAATTTACTTGGGTTTATTAGTACCTATCCATGATAGTTAATTTGTAACTTGGCTGGGTTTGGAGCCTCTAGGGGACGCACTTCTAGGCATGTCCATGAGGTAGACTTAACTGGAGTGAAGACTTACCCTGACTGTGGGCAGCGCTGTCCAGTGAACTGAGGTCCTAGACTGAATAAAAAAGAGGGGAACCGGAAAGTATGACCAGCTGCATTTCTCTCTCTTCTTTCCAACTCTGAACAAGTGTAACCAGCCACCTCACATTCCCACCACCGTGCCCTCCCTGCCGTGGCAGACTTGTATCTCCTCAAACTGTGAGCCAAGACAGACCCTTCCTCCCTTTGGTTGATCGTCAGGGATTTTGTCACAACAGTGAAAAAAGTAAATAATACATTGTCCCACAGAGGTATCACGGGAAATACATGAGGCACTTCATTTACATGTTTATATTTAGAAATCATGTCGCACAATTGGTTCAACAAATGTTAGGTTG